CCTCTTTAAAACCGAAGAAGGTCGCCTAATCAGAACCGTCCTCTATATCTATACCATGGTGGACATTTAGAGTCCAACATCTTTCTGACAAAACTAGTTGCAAATTGAAGAGTTGTGAGTGGGGACTTACACTGAGTATAGGCAGTTGGTTCAAAAAGTACATTCTACATTTTAGTTATTTCTGTTTTACCACTACTTTTGCTGAGATAGACGTTAATTTCACAATTAATACTTTTTCAGATTATTCCAAGCTTATTTCTTCACTAAAAGTACGCATTTTATTTTCTTTTCTATATAAAAACCAACGTGATATTCATTACTTGATTTAATGTTGGTTCATTGAACAATTGAATATGAAGAGATAATCGTGTGCCTCGGGAAATGTAAACGTAGGTTTGGTTATTCTTACTGAGTCGCAAATTTTTCAATGTGAGCTTAATAACTATTTGCTTTTTCGTTCCGCTCTGTTTGTTCCATAAAACGGGCGGGGTAAATATCATTCCATATCACAACTCTGACGGCGCATGTTAATTAAGCAACTTCGATTGCTTTCATTACATGTGTTATTAAAAATAAAACTAATAAATCCTAAGAATAAGTTCGAATGTGACGCATTAACCGTAAGTTGCGGAGTAACCTGAGTTTCAATATGTTCTAGTAATTTTGGTTTTGAATCGATTTCCCATTAAAGGTTTTTATCAGTAGACCGGCGTGATAGACATTAAAAAAAACATCCTTGTGGTATTAATGCCATATCCTATTTTTAATTACAAAATGAAAATTAAAACGTACTTTGATCAAGCAATATAATCACACTCTTTGAGTTTAATCATCATATTTCCTGGGCAACTGTTCGATTTAAAAAAAAGTGATAAAGTTTTTGTTGGCACTGAATGTAAATGGCACCGATGTGTAACCCCACACTTTTTCCATAGGGGCCTTTTCAAGTCGTTTACAAACCATTGATTGAAGCGTTGCGTGTTCTAATTCGTGTAATATACTGTAGAAGGTGATGCCTTCATAACTCTGTAATCAAAAAAGCGCTACAAATTTATTTTCTTAAATCTTTTCACAATGTACACTTCTATACTAAGATAACTAAGTAATTGTATTCAGTAATGGGAATAAGCGATAATTATAGTTTCGAAGAAAAGCTCTTTCTTATTAATGACGATTGTCATATTAATCAATCATCAAGAAAATAATAGTGATGGAACAGTTTGAACACATAAGAGTGTATAAATGATACTATTCGAAAAGAAGTTGATATGTGGATTTTACGCATTTTTCTGAAAACTGATGGAAAACTGAAACTTCTTTAAGAAATTAAATCAACGATTACTGCATTTAAAGCAAATTTTTATTATAGTTTGTAAGCAAGACTTCCGAAGGTACAGCGACAGAAGTAATGCAAAATAGTGAAGGTACCTCTGTTGCTGTACCTTCAGAAGATTGTTGAACGTCCAGACCTTTAAAGTTATTTTATTTACAATATATGGTTTTACTATAATTTTGTGAATTTTACTGAATCATTCTTTTGTAATTATATCCAGTGGTAAGTTTAGGAATATACAAATAAATGTTTAATGAAATATAATAGTCGAAACGATTTCAGGTTTAGAAACGTTTTGAAATCCAAATGGTATATTGTCCAGCACATGAATGAGAACCTTTTTGTTGAATGGAACTATTAGTAGTGATTATATTTTTGTAATGAAAGCGGTTCGGATTACCGCTTGTTTTTAATCGGAGTGGTAAAAAATAAAACGTGGTTTTTGAAAAATATTTCTGTTTTAAAGTTAACATGACTGTACATTGTGGAAAAGTTTCGACCTTCAATTAGAAATGGATAGAATTGTGAATCAGCAATTTTTGGAATATAAACATTTTATAAAATGCTTAATTATTTTACGTGATTAAATTATGTTACCTTAATTTTACATATTTTACTTAATTTTACTTTCATCTTATATTTATAAATGTTTCAAGGTTGAGAGATAATAAATTGAGTTATTATTGCTTTGATCGTACATTTCAACTGGAATATAAATTAGTTGAGTTTTACCGACTCCTTTTACTAAGAATCTACCAACAGTCAAAACCAATCCATTTAAGCATAATTAATCATTTTGTTTTCACAAAGTGGCAATTTTTCATGAAGACATTATATGTCTAAGTAGGCTTAAGTGTATCATTAAGTATGCAAGAATTGATAATGTTCGTAACATACACATATGTGTAACATATACATTAGGTAATAACTAATTAATATCTAATAGTATTCCAGGTTTGGCTGAGCTCTAAATTTTTTTTATTCATAAATTTGCATTACTTCTCCGGTCATGTTCTGGTAGTAATAACTGGTCATGACAAGGATTTTAATGGAACTCTGTTTTATGTACTGTTTGGTTTTTTTGTAGTATTGCTATATCTTAAGGTTCGTCACTTTTATCTCCTTGTCTTTACTTCACACGCAATTTTGTGTTTTGGCACTCATGTTGAATCGACCATGAAGTTAACTTTGTTGCCTAATACCGTCGTTACAACTATTGTCTGTAGAACCCTGATAAACTATTCATCTTCTTCTGTATTAAATATCGTAAGACTTCGAATGTAAACAGAAGCCTTCATTATTGTTGTTATCTACGTTGTCAACTCGAAATTTTATTCTTCGAGTTCTTATATTCGAAGTAGTTTTTAATTTATCAGGTATAGATTCTTTACGGTCTTATGTATTCTTTCGTTTGTTTTGTCCTAATCAACATTCTACGAGCTACGACTAAGTCAATGCGCTCCTTCACTTTGAAGATTCTTTTCTCTGCATCTCTGTTGTTGTAAAGCGATTTTGCTATACATATTTATATTTTGCTAATACATAAGTAAATAAAATGCACTTCTATCATTCTCTGAATTTGATATGTTCAATGCACTTTAAACAATAAATTCATATTAACCCGGAAGAAATTGTTATACTTATTCATACAAATCATTATTATTACTTCAATATTAAATTGAAAACAAAATATTTTTGGTCTAACTTGTATGTTGTTACTTATCCAGTTCTTGCGCTACAATCTTTAATTGTTGTGTGTTATTCATAGAAAAAACGGGGAAGTATTCTCCCCGGGACATTCTCGTAAAAGTTAGCCAACTGTTTATGTAAATAGCCAAATACAACCAGATATAATCGTGAAACTCCTAGCTAAGGGCGAGCTCCAGGAGGATTTCGCCGTGTAAAGGGGACAATTGGCAGTGCAAAGAAGTTCTTCTACACCTACTTGTAACTGAAACACCTCTTTAAAAAAAGAAATAGTCTTGGTTGGTATATGTCTTTTTACCACTTGCGTTTTTCACAACTTGAATTATCAAAGAATCAATCAAGAAAGAATTTGCAATCAAAACATGCTGGGAAAAGCATGGTTCTTATGGCCATATTATACTCTTATTTTTATTTATAAGTTTTTAACGTTTTGATATTTTAGATATATTAATAATAGACTTAAAATGGATTGATGTAATCGACGAAATTTATAAAAATATTCAATACAACATAGACAACTTCAATATGCGTATTTGTTTAGGATTATGTTTAGGAAATTGTTTAGTTTGGTTATTGTTTAGGAAATTAATCTGACAATATTTGTACTCATTCTGCCCACAAATTGTTGAATTATCGGATAATTTCACTTATTACTTAATATACCTTTTTAAATCTTACGCCCACCTAAACCAAATAGTAATAAAATTACAATCGGAGTCAGCAAGAATGTAATGACACCAATAATAGTAGGAAATATAAAAAAATGCAGTCAATTACTTGAATCCTTTGAAAAATACATTCAAGAATATTAGTACATGCGTTATGATAGCATTAAGACCCATGCAATTGATAGTGAAACATATCCAAGTAATTGGCCATTACAATTAGTACCCCAATTGCAACCCGGACGTTATAGTTTGTGACCAAATATTTGTTATCAAGCTTGGATGCTACAAATAATCTATAATGAAGGAGTAATGGAGTAAGGCACTACTAGACATGTTGGTTTTAACATTCGAGCCAAACCATGGAAAGAAAGACATGATATAAGTTATATACTTCGTTGTAGAATAGAAAGTGGAATAATTGCCAAGCCTTTGAACATACTCAGAAATATTCTAATTGAGAACCAAACTGTATAAAGTATATCGGAAAGAGCTTAACTTGACATTGCATTAAACCGGATAATAAAATATTCATATGTATACATTGTGGCGAAACACATCTAGCTAATAAGAAAGGATAAAATCAACAACAAGCAGCAAAAGGTGTCCAAGATATGAAACAGGTCACATGAAATCTAAAAACACTAATCAAACGCAGAAGCATAAAATTGTAAATGACATATAGAAATCATTGTATGCAATCCGAGAAGACTGAATAAACTTATCTTTATCGAGTGTACTCTTCCATTAACTTCCACTAACTAATTGTAACCAGTAAGCAACGTCAATCATTGAGAATAGCATTCAAGTATTTTTAGATACTGAAGATATTGATGTCTTATTTCCGAAACATAGTTTACCATTCAATCTTATGTTGTGTTTAGTAGATATACAACTATACAATGCTCCAAGCAAAAACTACCTTTCCTACATACATAGTACACATGATTGTATGCTTGTATAATATTAGAAATCAAAATCTAAGTAACATTGTTGGGCTTCCTAATAAAAAGATACATTTCAAGCTTTACCTTTGATATCGGGATGTGGCCACATTTTATAATTTGAAGGTTTATGTATAATTGAACTAGAAAAAATAAATTGTTTATAATTTTGTTTTTAAAACCAATCGATCAAAAAATGACTACGCAGTATAAATTATACGAAATTGGATAGAATGACCTTTACAGTTCACAATTGACTGTTACGCAATTTGTTATGACTATTAAAGCAACTGGTTAATAACTTAATGGTTTGTGGTAATTAAATATACAATCACGTTTTATATTTTTAAATTGAAAGAATTAATTTTATTTAAATAGCAAATTTAGTTTTGTGACTTTACAAACAGAACTATTATTATTGTCCAAAAATGTCTAATCTATCGATAGATAACTCAACTCTTACAAAAATACTTTCTGTAATAAACCTGTAATAATAATTCATAATTTACATTATTACGTTTTAATCAATTTCAATGGATGTTCAAATCTTCGCTTAATTTATCGATATATTCAAAGATGTTATCGATAATCTCCTGAGCCTCTTCTCTACTATCCACAATATTATCTTTCACCGATAGGGCTAATTGAAAACGATCAAGATTTGTAATTACGTGCAATATAAAACCTAAACAAAAATGTTCACATTAATATATAAATTAACAGTCTTTAATAATTAATACACGTACTTGTGCTGTGGAAAAATGTATTAAATGCCACTACTGCATCTATTTCATAATCATCTAGTGCTAATGCATTTACTGCTCCAACATTAGTAATTAACGCTGTTATATTCATAAGATTTGTGAAATATGTTAATACAGGAGCAGGTAAAATATAACATAAGCTTGAAATTGCATGGATTTCCTTAAATTCATATTCCTTTTAACAACTATTCTGATGTTTTGTAAGAGGATATTACATTTTATGGATACTTACCAAACTGTCAGCAGAGTATTTAGCTTTAAGAACTTCTACTCCCAGAGTATTGAGCTGATCAAGCGTTGTTGACGTTTTCTTCGTGTTAACAGGTGTATTAATCAGAAGTGCTGATATGTCATTAGTAAGATTTTTGTAATTGTATGTTCCATTAATCATTTTAACTAAATCTTCATTTATCGATCTCATTAGAAGACATGTCGTATATTTGGTCATAGTTTTATCTCTTTTCAGCAAAACTTTTACAAGGCTAGCAGTTAATCCCGCCATTAATATTTCCGTAAAACCTACTCCAAGTTCATTTTTTAATTTTTTCACTAAAGGTACATATTTTGTTTTATCTTCTATATAAAAAGCAACGTGACGGTCTTTGTTGGGAACGTCAAATGCTAATTCATCTTTTCCACAAGTTAAAAGGTTCCGATAAATATAAGCGTTGTCAAATGCAAATTTAGGGGATGATGTATATTTCGTGTGTAGTGTCATAGGTATTGCTTTTTCTTGTACCAGAAATTCCTTTAATAACCCTAACATAGAAGTAGCATCTGCTAAACAATGTCTAAAGACAAACATTACCGCCATATGTTTTTTCGTTTCACTTTGATTGTTCCATAACACAGGTTGCGTAAATATCTCTGCATACCACAACCTTTTTTGATTGCAAACATAATTCATGTTATTCTTGTCAACGTGATCAAGTAATTCGTTTCGGGTTATATAGTTTTTGCCATTGATATTAGTAAAAACGCAACAGTCTTTGGAGCTAACTTGATTCTTCAAGTAAAAGGGATATCCCAAACATTTTTCTACGGTACAAGAAAATTTGTAAGAACTGTTATGTATCCTTTTAAACAATTCTTCTAATCGTTTGTTAATAATCGCATCAACATCATTACGTTTCAAAATCAACAAAACTGAAGCAGATACTTTTTCAGTTGTGCACTCAAAAATAGGATCTTGGCCTTTTAATCTACCACCATAATTTTTACCCAATTTCCACATTAACCACAAATCCATTCCACATAAGAATGTTTGTATTATTAGAAATAAAATAGCAAGAAATATCATAATTATAATTGATAATGCTAAAAGACATGTTTGTATTAGTAACCCTACAGGAAATGGTTTTTTCTTTATAAATCCTGGTGTTATTCCCAACCAATTCTAAAATAGTGTACGAAAGATGTGTACGATAAGACAATGAAATACAAAAACTTACCTTAATTAAACAATATATCGATATGAACACATAAGAAATAATTTTCATGATGTCGTCTGTATCGCTTATAAGTTTAATCAGAAGGTAACAAAGTTTTCGCTACAATTTATCTATACAGGTGAGGTGAAAATAATTAAATAATAAGTTTCTCATAACATATCGCAAAAACTCGTTTTGTTTAATAACGGTTATTTCAGATTTTCAAATCAATACCAATCTGACTACTATGTTAATAATGGCAACGTATTAAAATAATTGTTTAATAGTTTTGCTGTAATTGGTTACTTAAATGCGTAAACATTGTATTTATTTTGTTGTGTTGAAACAGCAATAAAAAATTTTAATTTTGACTTCAACTTTGACTAAATAATTATATAATATATTACTTGAATAGATGAGAAAATTGATCCATTAAGCAAGTGATGAAAATGTTAAAATTGCTGTGTTAGCTGCAGTGATCCATTATCCTAATTTTACTACGCGGGAAATATTTCGGGATTCAGGATATATTTAGAGCGTCATAAATATTATCCTTATCACATGCCTTTGCAGCAAGATCTGATGCCCATTTTCAAAATCATTTAACTTTTTTTTTGTGGATATGTCAACAAATAGAGCAAAACGCAAATTGGCCCTACATCACTGACGACAATTTGAATGATATAATGTACAAAGACTTATTTTCGAAAATAATTTACGGGGACCAAAGTTTAGAAGTGTGACAGCACATGCAATTTCAACATAAAGGTTGTTTTGCACAGTATTCGGTAGCTTCTCATGTTTAATTCGAATATTAATAGTAACATTATATTAACTACTAGATTTCTTTCGGTGGGGTTAACTAGGGGTGTTATGGATATGAAATTTCGGATACGGATTGGATACGGATTGGATACGGATTTAGGAACGGTTATTATACCGGATACGGTTACGGATACGGATAATAAATTATTTCGGATTACCCGTTAGTTTCGGATAATTTCGGTTACGGATATTAATTTTTTAAAGAATTTCAAAAGTAAAATACAAATAGGTAATAAAGTGGTTTTATTTATAAGTTTTTTGGCAGGAATCTCAATCAGTCTGTGAGTAATTATTTATTACAGCTATTTAAAATAAAAATGAATATAAATAATTATATTGAGTATTATCTAAAACACCTAAAATGAAAATGTAATAACAAAATTATTACTTATACTGAATCAGTAATTTCGTATTCAAAGAAAATAATAAAATCAGAATTAAATTTAGTCAATTAGGCTCAGCCCCTATCCGATATTATCCGAAACTTTTATTTCGGAGTCGGTTACGGTTACGGATGATTTTTTATATCGGATATCCGATAGTTTCGGTTACGGTTACGGAGCTCCCTAACATCCCTACTCAGAACATTCCCGATATATAAAAAGACTATGATGTGTTGAAAAACATCTAAACGCTTAAAGGTTAAGGAAAAGAAAACGGGTATTTTTGGGTAAATTCGGCTTGCTCACAAGAACAAGTGTGGCTACTATAATTAAGCTTGTTTTAAAGTTAACGCACATTTAAATGTGAACAAGTACGAAGAAAACTTACTTATCTAACAGCAAAATGATAGTGCGTCACTAAACGACTTGGGAATTTCAAGTAACTTTTGATCAAAACTTGACGCGAAAAATCTCAACTTTTCATACATATTAGTGATTTTTATAAAAAGAGCGTTATAAATTCCTTGAGCATGGTGTTTTCTGCTACTATCAATAAAACTCTATTTGTTGAGCTTTATTAGGTTATATTTATAACAAAGAATTTACATACATACAACTTATTTCATAAAAATGTGTGCGGTCAATGTGCAACCGTTATTGTCAATCAAAATGAATGACATACTTCCGATTTAACATTTGTAAAATAATTTTATAACCTATATTTACAAAACCCAATCAGATTTATAAAAAACAAATCTATTGTAACTTGTTTTTAGTAATACTTGATTTTCGAATAATAATTCGAAACCTTCCACGTTTGCAATTTTTTTTTTACGGAAACGTCATATATAAACTATTAACTGGAATGAAAAATTGACAGTGTAAAATCAAAAATTCATCTATGCCAAATCTGGAGGTGAGAATGCATGAAGCATATTAGAACAAATATTGGCTAAACGGAATATGGTGGTCTAAATAAATAAGGAACTCCACTTAACTCAGAATATACCAGTTTATAATAGAATATATTATATTGTATTGCTCGGAAACTTGGGAAATTTCAAAAAATATGACTGGTGGCTACAAGACTCTCCAACAAAGCTGCAGAATATCTAGATTCTAGCACGTAACAAATAACGTCATTAAAGAAATAATGAATCGTAAATATTGAATAGTTTTAAAAAGTTTTATTGTTCAAATCCCTGCAGAAATGCTAAAAGTGAGTCCAGTAAAGTCACGTATTAGCACCAGCTATACGTTTCTATTACAAACATAAATTCGTATTTAACGTTTAAGTTCGTAAAGCTGGGAATATTGTCGATAAAAATATTATGAACATTTTCTGGAAAAATCCCTGAAACAAATTCAACGATTTATTTATATTCTTTGCCAAATCTTTAGGGCGATTCAATTTTCTCAGACATGTTTTAAAAAGTTATCAAATCATCAATGATTTCTTTAAATATTTATTCGCTATATAAATACCTATGTGTAGAATAAATATTAACAATGGATACTAAGCATCCAATAACTCTGGTTTAAATCTTTATAATGCCTGCATCAAATCTCCATCATGTCCATATATCATCTCTATATCATGTCTTCGCCAAATTCTTGTTAATTCACGTCTGCGTAAAGACAAAACTCCATTTAGTCCACAGAAAGACTTGAAAAGGCTTAAAATTTCAGTACAGTCGTTTTTTAAGATGTGTTAAGTTCTCGTTGCCATATACATCAAATCTTCATTGTTCCTTTTATATGATATTCTTCATTGCATTGTCAAAACTTCCTTATGTCTACATCTTGACAACTCCGTATGTAGTTTTTCATCAAGTCCGCTTCAAGATTATATAATTCATCTATCCGGTACTAACATTAATGCTGAATCTAAGAGTACAGCAGACTCTATCAAGATGACCCGTTGCGTCCTTTGGCTTGGTATATTCATTAAGACACTATAATTTATTCGAAATCTCTATGAGACCTGCACCAAGTGTTTATAATGTCTGTATCGAGACAACTCGATATAAAATCAACATTATCTCTGCATTAAATCCTTCTTATGGTTCTATCAAATCAAGTCTATACACTCTCAAGTATGCATCAAATTTTCGTCATATTCCTATCACGTCTGCATCACAAGACAGTTCAAGGTCTCAAAACGTCTCCATATTGCGATTAAATTTGCATCAATTCTTTAGAAACTATCAAATCTATTTCATCTTCAAACTTAATAAGTGAAGTAAACCATCATTACTTATTATCAATTTCTACCATGCCTCCAACTAGTTGCTTTTATATAAAGTCAGCACACTTGTTCCTATGGGAATATCTGAAAAGTACAGTTTACTCCATTCGCCTGACTTTTTTTGGGATGAACTAAGTCAGAATCCAAGATGATGAGAATTCCCGAAAAAGATATAGACCGAGCAAAGAGTATCAATAATAAAATGGTGGAATTAGAATTTCTTGCTTTGAATATTATTCCAAATAAATAGCAAAACGGGTAACTCTTAATTACCGGATACCGACGGAGTAACAAAAATATAGGCTTACACGACCGTTGTTATTGGCATTAACTAAAACTACAAGTGTTCGAGTTATAGCACACTGTTGAACATACTCTAATTAAAAATCAATAGGATTGTCATGCGATGCTCGAGTAAATGTTTTCCTTCTCCAAAAACAATTTCCCGGCAAACTATTATTACGAATAATTGTGCAACAATCTTAGTAAGCAAATATTTGTTAAATTTCTTGAAACTAGCTGCTGTTTTTGATAAAAAGTTTAATACCTTGGTATTGTTGACTTCAATGGAATGAGAACTTCGGAATGAGACTTCAATTGAGGCTCAATATGTTGTGACATTTCTGTACCTGCTTCACAATCATAAAGTCTTGAACGCAATGCTTTGCATAATATCATCTAACTTTATTCAAACACTAATTTAATAGCTAATTTAATAATGGGTGGTGCTATATGATTGAAATTTAATATTTAGTGATTAATTATTATTAACTGAAAATCTACAACAAAGGCGAACAAATTACTGAATATGAAAAACATTGTTACGGACTCCAGAATCCTCGAAATTCGTAGATACAAAAAAACCTCAAAATCGTCTTTTTTCTATTCCACTACTTTCTCTTGTATGTCACGTGTACGAAAAATTAAAAAGCTATTCAAGCACATGTTCCGTTGCATTGGTGTGACGTTCTATTGGCTTAAAGTTGTTCAAGTAAACAGTCAAATTTATGGCACGTAAACCAGTGGTAGTGGCCGCACAAGAAACGGCCACGTATGTACGTGTACAATGGTCGAGTCAAACAATGGCACAGACCTTTGCAGTTCAAATGCTCCCACTCCGGTAAACAATGAAGCAAAACTCGGGGTAATTAGCGGGACCGGTGTACAGGAAACGGGCGGAGCTGTATTCTAATTATGAAAGTTAAGAGAGCCAAGTTGCCCGCGTAAATTTTACGTATTGTGATAACGGAAGCGAAGTTAGGAAGTTTTTCGGTTATCTCCGCCACTTCTTTTCTATTATCTACTAGTTTAACCCAGAACGAAGCCGGAAACGCTGATATTGAGCGCCGATTCTTCCCATTTGTTTTGGCTATCTAGAATTTCTTCGATATAGACTTCTCCAAAACTATAAATTGTATAATAATACATATACCGCGTAAAAACCTGATGTTACAACAAGCTACTGTTATATTAACATTCCGCTTTTTCTTTCTATTTGCATTTATACACGTTTACATTTTCAACAAAAAATACTAGTTGTACTAGTGTAACGTTTTGTAAAATACCTTCTATAAAAGCCAAGCCGAAGTGTATAAGCTTTTTTTCCAGACGAATTCAGTCGGAATTTGCATGCGAAGGGCAAAAAAGGGAGAAAGGATACCGCGGTCTGGACAGTTG